TACTCCACTGTGTTAGTTTTGTCATTTGATAATGAAGACTTTTTCCTCTTTAGAATCACATTTCCTTTGGGAGAAAATTCCATCCCTTCACTCACCAATCCCTTTCCTCCCTTTCCTCCCCAGATGCTCTGGTCCAACTTGGCATCTTGGACATTGACCCTTGTAGGTTAGAGACTTTTCCTGAAATCAGAAGGTGATCTTGCAGCTCTCAGATTGCAATTGAATCAGCTTCCATTTCAAGTGCTCTAGGACAGTGGTCGGCAAACTCATTAATCAACAGAGCCGCAGTTTGCCGACCACTGCTCTAGGAGGATTCAACAACAAAAAAACCCAGGAAGCCTCTTGCTTGATTCTTCCCCACACCATGAAAGATGGCCACACTGGGGCAGATACAGAAAACAAAATTAAATGTGGACCTTGCCCTGCAGAATGCATAATCTGCCTTTTATCTGCAAAGCCATAAACCCTTCAAACCTCGGATTTAAAGCTCTGGTCTCATTAGATGCTTGAAGTGCTTAAGATTGCAAATAACTGGTAACTAATTAACAATCAAGATCACAAAAGAGAATCACCAGGGGCAAGTTGTGCCTGCTGAAGACCTGTGCTCCCAGCAGCAGAGGTTCACAAGTTCACTGAGCAATGGTGTGTGTGTGGTGGAGCTCCGTGTGTTTGTTGCCTGTCCTTTGCCAGGAGGCAGTAGGTGTGGGTAAAAAAAAGCTACATTTCCTGAGTGCTTCCTTTGTTTCTGGGACCTGTGCTGCACGTAGGTTATCTCAGTGAATCCTTACATGAGTCCCATGATGTAAGCACCACTATCCATTTTACACATGGAAAGCAGATGTTCAAAATGCCACAGCTAGCTAATGGTAGAGGTGGGATTTCAGTTCCTGACATCGACTCCAAAGCCATCATTACAGTGTATTGTTCCGATCTGTTTTAGAAGGAAAAGATAAAAGCAGATCTGGAGGGAGGGAGAGTGGAGAGGATGAAACAGCCCCACTACTGCCTGTTTGAGATTCTGACACCTGAGATGTATGTAGTAGAGAGCAAGTGTGTGGGTGGGAGAAGTGTTCCTCTACTATCCTGGGTTCTTTCGGCTGGTCCAATCATTAAATCGACAGGATACAGATTAATAGGACAGTGAAATTTAATTACATACATACACATGGGAACCCTGCATACATGAGCAAGTCAAAAACCCATAGACATGAGAGGTGCCAAGACAGAAAGGGAAGTGAAGTCTACATACATCCTGAGCTAAGGGCACAGATGTTTAATTACTGATTTCCCATATAGATAGGTCAAAAAAGGTACCTCTGATTGAAGCATAGTAACCCCCATCGTGTATAAAAACTGCTGTTTGAGCCTGGACAGGTTTGGCTCAGTGGATAGAGCATCGGCCTGCAGACTGAGGGGTCCCAGGTTCGATTCTGGTCAAGGGCATATACCTTGGTTGCAGGCACATCCTCAAAGGGGAATGTGCAGGAGACAGCTGATCAATGTTTCTCTCTTATTGATGTTTCTAACTCTCTATCCCTCTCCCTTCCTCTCTAATAAAATAAATAAAATATATTAAAAGCAAAACAAAACACACACAAAACAAACAAACAAACAAATAAACACACAAACTGCTGTTTAAAATTCTCTACTATGGTTAGATAGTCTCTTGTTCTGTAAACTCTGTCATTGTAAACTCTTGTCATTTTTAGACAGTCTCTTATTCTGTGAAATAACTTTGTTTTTTAGCTTAGAAAAGATAAACTTAACTGTCTGACCTTGCAAGCTAGCCATCTAATGAAAGGGGCTGATACTGATAATATCTCATGCCAGGTGTTTATCAGCTATGATATGTACTAAAGGTTACAAGTTGTCTGTATAGATATGATATGTACTCAAAGTTACAAGTTATCTGCAAAAGTAACATACACAAAGACCTGAAAAGATATACAAAGAGAATGCTTCTTCCTTTGCTCAGAATTTGACAGAGATATTCTGCTCTGAGCCCATGCATAATAAAGATTCCTGATTAATTGGCTTGTTCAGGCATCTTGTATCTAGCTCTCTGACTTACATGATCATCTCTTAAAATGGGCAAGGCCCCCAATTCACATTCTTTAAGGGAGAGGTAAAAGTTTCTCATGAACTTGCAGGGTCTCGATTGCCTTTAGCTCAAAATAATTCACCTGCCAAAGCAGTCCATTTTGGGGAAGACTCCTCTGAACTTCCACACAAGAATATTGCCTTTTTCTTTAGAAAACAACATAACAGAGTCTTAAACCCTACTTCCTGGTCTCCAGAGTTAAAAGATATTCATGTCAGTCAGGATTATTTCAGAATTTTGGGGGGAAAAGTAAATTATTTCAGAATTTGGGGGGGGAAAGTAAATAATGCATTCAGGAAATGAAATTCTTTTGTGTTTTTCTGTTTTTAAATTATTTCATTAAAATTTATGTTTCTCAAGTATCTCCCTAACAATTTTTTTCAAATCATAAAGATTGCATTTGCTAACCAAAACCTAAGCCATTTTAACTGTTGAGCAACTTCGGATTTGGAAAACACTGGCGGCTTCCAGTGGTTAAAGAGGCTGCACCCTCTTCCACAGCCTCACAAACAAGAGCTGTGATAAAGTAGAAGTCAGTGATAGCCCTTCTCTGCCCATTGGAAGTAGGGCCTCCGCTGTCAGGCCTCCTATGTTAGCTCAGGAAACCATACAATCTGCCCCCACAAATGCTTTTCTGACAGGAAGTGCTCTTCTGACAAGAGACCCACCTGCTCCCGTAGTAAGTCTGAGGTGGAAACGTGCAGCTCTAGACCTTAAGGATTGCCCTGACAGAAAGATTTTTATACCTCACCTATGCAAGAGTAGGAGTGTGTGTGATTACATGGAGTACTGTGGGCTGGGGCAGGCAGAGCCCATGGTGCACATCTCTTCCCAACACTGCATTCAGTGGCATAGTGTTGGCAGCTTGCAAGGGTGGGAGTATTTACACCCTGGAAATCCACAAACAACTATAGGGCTGTTTTCTCAGAGAGCTGGTTGTTAAACATTCATCTACACATAATTGAATGTACCCCATTACATTTTTTTTAGTATAAATATATTTTTCCAGTTCTTTACTATTACACACAATAAAACACCAAAGGTATTTTATGCACCTCTGTGTGAATTTCTTTAGGGTATATACCTGGAAGTGGAATTTCTTGCTTATAAACTATGCACATTTCAATTTATTACATAGTTTTGAATTTTGTCCCATCAGTCTAAGATTTCCTGTTTTCTTACATTCATGTAAACACTTGGCATTATTAGCCTTTTTCATTTATGTCAATATGAGGTTAAGGATGTTTCATTGGATCACATGATCTCACACATCTAGAGGAAATGATGAACAACATAAACTGATGAACAAAAACAGACCCAGAGAAAGAGAATCAGGGATCAGACTCTCAAACCTCAGAGGGAAAGTAGGGGAGGGAGGGAATAAGGGGAAGAGATCAACCAAAGGACTTGTGTGCATGTATATGGGCCTAGCCAGTGGCCATGGACAACAGGGGGCTTGGGACATATGTAGGGAGGGGTTTGGGATAGGAATGGGGGAATGAGGACAATTATGCGATACCATAATCAATAAAACAATAAAAAATAAAAAAAGATGTTTCATTGTCATTTCAGTTGATATATTTCTTATTGCTTGTGTGATTGAACATCTTTTTATGTGTTCATTGTCCATTTGAGTTTTCTCTTCTGTGAATTTTGTGTGTATATTTTTCCTCATTTTTTTTTTTTTTAGATAACCTCTCTCTTTTTTTTTTTTCTTATTGATTTGTAGGAATTCCTTTATGTGCCTTGGCTAACTTACCCTTGTTCAGTTATATGCAGTATCAATATCTTCTTTCTCCTGTGATTTGTAGTTTAACTATGTTATTGTGTTTTTGTCATAAGGAAGTTTAAATTTTGATATAGTCAAACTTATTATGATTTTTATGTGTGTGTGTGTTTTCATGTTTAAACCTTCTTTTCTGACCTCAAGATTAAAGGTAGGTTCCTATACTTTTTTTTTAAAGAAAAGTTTAGATTTTGATAAGACATCTTTAATCCATTCAGAATTTATTTTTTGTGAATGTGAGAATTTTATTTTTCATAGAGAAATGCTACTGTCCCAAAGTCATTATTAAAAAAAACAAATTTTTAGTATTGATTTTTTTGTTGTTGTTGTTTCTCTCATATTTGAAATCTCCATATGTATTTGCTTCTGTTTTGATACTCTATTCCATTTTGTGAATCCATTGTTCTTTTTGACAACATCACACTCTCTGTCATAACTTTATAAAAATTCTTGAGCAGTTCCTTTCTCATTCTGCCTCTTCAGTGTTTTCTTACCCGTACTTGGAGGTTCACTCTTTCTCGTGAACTTCAGAAAGTTGGTCAGTTTGTCAAGACTCTGTTAATATTTTTATTGGAATAACATTGAATTTATAGACTATTATCAAAATGACCATCTTTATTATTCTGAGTCTTCTAATCTATGAACATTTATATGGGTAAATATACATGTATCTGTTGCATATGAATAGATGGATAGTTCTTTTTTATGTCCTTTGATAATTGCTGTATAACATTTCCATAAAAATCTAACTCATTTTTATTATATTTATATTCTTTAAAATCATTTTATAGATTTATTTATTTCTATCACGAAATTGACCTTTTACCTATTATATTTTATGAACAGTTATTGCTGGCATAATAAGAATGTTATTGGTGTTTATATGCTCATCTCACTAATAATTTTTTCAAACTTTTCCCTGGTCTCTGAAGCTTGAGTCTTTATGTTAAACTTAGTATCTGCCCTTCAAAGTGTCAATGACATTTTCTTTGACTACTTTTTTAGCACTGTAGTGCATATGAAAGGGTCAAAGTTTCCAATATGACAGCCAGGGCAAGGTCCAAGAGGCATTTATCACAAGGTGTCTTTGCTAACATTTGTTCACTTGCAACAATGGTGTGGACTAGGGTCACTTGCATTCTCTCTTTCATCTTGTTTTTTGTTCACATAGCAGCTGTATCGGTAAGTCAAATTCTGCTCTTCTGAATATTTAGAGATATCAACTCTAGTATTTGTCATCCACTTTCTGTATATTTTCTTTCAGATTAAGCATCATTCTAAAGAAAATGGTAAGGCCCAATTGAAATGCATAGAGAATGTTTCTGACTTTCTCTCTTTTGTTCAGCAAGACTAGTAACGATTTTTCTCCCACTTTTTTTTTTTTTTAACAGTACATGATGCAGAGTTTAGTGAACAGAAGGATATTTCAGAAATCAACTTAGGTGGGTTCAGTTTCCATATTATTAATGCCTTGAAATAATTTCAAATCCTGTAGTAAAATTACTGAAAAGCGATTACCTTCATAATACATTATTGAGTAATTTTGGAGGGAGAATTACTTATTGGTACATTGTTAGAATTTGCAGAGTTTCTGTAAAATGGAAATATGGAAAGAGAATGATGGTAAGATCAAATTTTCTAGAAGCCATAGTATGTGTTTAGTGAATCTACAAATACGTAACAAGATAGTTGTTTATAACTATGTCACTTTGCCAATTTCCATTTTGAAAAATGGGAAAGAAAAATAGATGATTATTCTGCTTGCTAAAGAAAAATATAAGGAGTATACACATGGTTATATTTAGCAGGAAGAAAAACCCAGCCCTTCATGGGCCATCATATTCCCTAACAACTGTTTACTTAGGACTTCGAGAAAAGTACAAAGGTGTTTCTATTTCAACATCTTCTCCATAAACATATTTCTTGAAGAAATTTATGTCTTATGGTTACTATAGAAGCTGAGTTATCATCTCTCTTTTTTCTTTTTTTGTCCTGCTTCTAAAATTTAGGAGAAGCCTCTACATTCTGGGTGTTTTTTGTTTAGGACTGGTAGGAAATAGAGGTATCATGGTCATATACAACTATAGTTTACAAAAGCTTTTAGGTAGGAAATAGAGGTATCATGGTCATATACAACTATAGTTTACAAAAGCTTTTGTACCTAATTGCACATTTACTTGTCAGATCCTGTAGTGGAATAAAGTGCTATTTTCATCTTGCAGGAAGGGACAGCAGTTCCTTGGGGTTGGGGTAACTTGCCCAAGGTCACAATGCAAGTGATGTGGATCACTTCCAGGTCTTCTGACTCATAGCTCAGTGCTATCTCAAAACCACAAAATTAAAATACCTGGTGGTTATACTGCTCTGACGTTGTCCCATTTACAAAAAAGGCAGGTTAGTTGATATTTAACTGGTAAAGCTTAAGAATGACAACAGGTGTGTGTGTGTGTGTGTGTGTGTGTGTGTGTGTGTGTGTGTGTGTTGGGAGGTGGCGGGGGTAGAAATAGTTTAGTGAGGTCAATGGGTGAGTGGGTCCATCAGGCAACAGATGACCTCTCCTTAGGTCAAGTACTCAAGATGTAGTGATTGAGAGGATCTGCTCTACTTTAAAACAGGTTGAACTTAGAGTTAGAGCTTCCTAATCTCATTCTTCTTTAACTAGTAAAAAATACTTGTCTTACTTAGAGCCGCTTCTTACTCTTCATCTCCACAACCACCTCTGAACTATGGTCCCAAGAAGAAATTTTCCCACGTGTGTCTTTTTTTTTTTTAAGTCATTCCAAATGAGCTGTCAAGATTGATTGAGTTTGCCACATAGCCAGAAACCAATAATGTTGGGGAAAATCACATAGAGAAAATTGTCACCTTTTTACAATCTTCTCTCCACGCCCCATGATGCTGATATAACTTTTTTTTTACCCCAAATCTTCTCTCAGTCTTTTTTATTTCACTTAATGCATTTTCTTTTTTTTAAATTTCTTTATTGATTATGTTATCATATAATTGTCCCCCCCCCCATCTTTCCCCAAACCCCTCCCCACGTATACACTCACACTCCTGTTGTCCATGACCATTTAATGCATTTTCCTCCTTCTAGAGGTTCAGACTCTGATCTCAGAGTTTTCCTAACTCTTGTCTTTCTCTCACACCTTACACATTACCTGTCAGCAAAGGCTATTAGATCTGTCATCAAAAAATGTCACAAATTGTGACTGTTCAGCACTTTTTTTCTTTTCTTTTCCCATCTTGGTCTAAGACATCTCATTTCTGGCCTGGTCCTTGCTGTGGCCTCCTCACTGCTCTTCCCTTTGTGCCCTCCTCCGATCCAGGCTGTTCTCCACCAGGTGACAGAGCTCTCAGTGCCAACCAGGTCATGCCGCTTCTCCCATCCAGTCTTCCAATCACAAGATTTCAATCTTTCAATCTTTTAGCACTGACTAGCGTTGGCGATATTCCATCCAACACAAAATAAAGATTCTGGAGTCTTGATTCTCAAAGTGTGGTTCACAAGCCAATACTACCTGGACCACCTAAAAGCTTTCTTAGAAATGCTGTAACTGAAGGAGGAGGATCCAAGATGGCTGCTCAGGTAGACACCTAACCGCAGCAGCACACAACAATTTCAATGGAATATAACTAAAATGTAGAGTGGACATTGCCCAGAGCTACAGACTGACTGAAAATTCTACAACAAGAAGGAAAGAGAAAACCAGAAGGAAAATCAGAGGAGCTGAAAAAGCCTAAGGTTTTGAGATATATATATATATATATATATATATATATATATATATATATATATATATATATAAAGAAATGCTGTAACTTGGGCTCTACCCCAGACCTATAGAATCAGCATCTCCATTTTGGCAGATCCCAGATGATCCCTAGGCAGAGTAAAGCTTGAGATGACCTGACTCTGGCCACCTTTCTCACCCATTACTTAATACACACCCCCTCCCTAGCTGCCTTATTTACTTGAGCTCTTCAATCTTCCTAACTTTATAGCTATTTCTCTACAAGAGTGGTTCTCAGTGTGTGGTCACCCAATCAGTAGCATCAGAGTCACAGGGAACTTTTTTAGGAATGAAAATTCTCAGGCCTTACCCCAGACTTATTGATCAGCAACTCTAGGGGTGGGAGTCAGCAACCCTGGCATTTGGAAAGCACTGTTCTAAGACATCAAGGCTTTCCTGCCTTTACCTTCAGTACTCTTACTTCACTTCCCACACCATCAGATTTCTGCTTAAATGCCACCTCCTGAGCACTCTTTATAAAATATCAACTTCCCTACTTCAGCACTCTTTCTCCCCTTACTCCTTCTTATGTTTTTCCTATTTCCCTTTTTACCATCTGCCATACTCCATATTTTTGTTTGTCTCTCTCTATCCCCAAACAAGAATGCCATCTCCCCAAGGATTTTGCTTTCTTCTCTGCTATACCCATAGAACCTAGAACAATGCTTGGGATACACTAGGTATGTAAAAAGTATGTGCTACAATGAACAAATTGGCTACTGAATTGATGGAGGCTGGCTCTCAATGGATATGTACTTCTTTGCGAAGTGTTCCCCTTGCCACACTCTTTCACCCTCCTCAACCCATCTATGCTGACCAACCACTGGAGTTGGTCTCCATTCATATGACTCCCCTAACCTTCCTCCATCCAGGCCAGGTGTCAGGAAATGCATACTGTTCTTCATGACAAACCTTAAAAAGAGTATGGCTAGACCAGCACACAGTACCCCTACTAAAAGGGCAATAGAAAATGTGGGTCCTACTGCTGGTGGGGCAGTGGTGTCAATGCTACCTGTTGTTAGCATCACTGCTATCATATTCATAGGTTAGGTTATGGAGGTTAAGAAATTGTAGGGAAATGAGAAAAGGGATGGTGCAGTGACAGCCTTAGTTGCTTGGTGTTGGAGGGTACCATTGTCTTTTCATGGGAAAGAACAAAATCAACCCACTTACCCAGGGTCGAAAGAAGGATGGTATACTAAGGGAAGGGGCCCTGGGTGGGAAGTCAGGAGTATTAAAGCTCAGTCAGTGCTGAACACCTCGCACATCCCTTCCTGTCTCAGGAATCCATTTCATCCACGGAAGTGTGAGAGGTGTGGAGTCAATCATCAAAAAGATCTCTTCCAACTCACTTGTCATTTTAAAATTCTTGGACAAAGTTTCTTGTCTCAAAAATGAAAACAGAGGATTAAGAATATATGATACCCACTGACTATATACATATGCTCCATTAGAGGGAATTTTTGCATTGTTTCGGAAAGACTTTCACCACATAAAGGTGAATAATTACAGATTTACAATGGAAAAGATGGATTGTATGATGAGCGATGCCTTTTAGTAAAGCTCATTCAAATATTTCTTTCTTTTTTTTTTTTTTCAATCCACCTCTAGCTGCAGGGTTGGACCTCTTTCAAGGGGACATCCTCCTAAAGGTGAGTACCTGCCCATGACACAACAATGTCCTTTGGAACTGGCTGTGATGGATGCCACCTCTGCTCTGTGAGCCCTGGGATGGGAATAATCTAATCTGTAATTAATATCCACAAGCACTTACACTGTGGTCAGTGATGACAAAAACAGATTTAAAAAATAGCAAATATCACCAAAGAGTCTGTAATTATTGAACTTGCTTTAGCCCATCAATTATCCTAGTAAGTGAAGAATGAGAGAGAAGAACATGCACCGATATGTTTAAAGCATCTATTTCAGTTTGGGGAGAACCTTTATTTTGTTATTAATCATTTCTCTGACTTTTCCAAATTGTCTGTAATGAACTATCACGTTTATAATCAGAAGACAATGCTACTAAATTGTTGACTTGTGTGACAGATGATTTGCGGTGTGAGGGTTTGGTGGAAGAGGGGACCAGGGGATGAGACTTCCCAGTGACCTGTACCTTGCTATTTTCACAGAACTCCAGAAATGGTCTGAGAGACCCCAGCACCAGGTGGAAGTTCCCCATTCCTTACATCTTGGCGGACAATCTGGGTAATACTAATTGTTCTTTATTAGGAGCTCTGGGCCTGCCTTTTCTCTCCCCCTTACCCCCCATCTCCTCCTGTTCCTCCACATCAGATGGCGGAAAGCAGCCCTGTGTAAGAGGCTTCCTAAGCCTGCCAATTCTTATCTCCTGGGATGAGAGGCATGATAATGCATCGATGTAATGTGAGGCCAAGATACAGAGCATCAAAATGATTTTTAAAAGGCAGGAAACATTAACATGTTAGTAATACCAGAAGCACCACCAGGAAAGACAACACAATGAAATCACGGCAATAAAAACTTGCACTTTAAATAACAGACTGCTGCACCTCAAAGAAAGGGTGGGGATAAAAGGGAGAGATCAACTAAAGGACTTGTGTGCACACATATGAGCTTAACCAGTGGTCAAGGACAATAAGGGGGTGGGGACATGAGTGGGGAGGGTTGGAGGATTGGAATGGGGGGTTGAGGACAAATATGATACCTTAATCAATAAAGAAATTTAAAAAAATAGTTTGCTCAGGTGGCTCTAAATATGGAATAAGAATACTATTTTCAGCATATTGATCGTCACTTTTTATTGCAAGACACATGCCACATTTTTGAAGCAGAAAGGTCTGTATTCCACAACTGAAGTCCCTATTCCTCAGTATTAATACATGGTATTCTTTTTTCTCTCTTAAGATAAAAGACTAAGTTATATTTTATTCATTGTTGAAAATAATGCTTGGTGGAAATAAGCAAGTATTAGAAGCCACGTGTGGACACTGGCTGACCTCAGGCAGCTGACTGATATCTGAGCACAGAGGTGATGCAATGCCCTGAGGCCCATAGGGTAGGTGGAGGGAGTTCAGAGAGAGGGCAAGCCAGGACAAGCTTGCTCAGACCTAATGGGCTGCCAGGCGGCCTCCACTCTCAGGAGATGTTACTATGTTTCTGAGTTTTCCACCACTATCACCAGGGCTGCCTCCACCGCTTTTCTGGAGAAGAGCTAGATATAAACAACAACTGTTGTTCTCAGTTATTTTATGGAAAAGTGAGCTGAGTTGTTTTTCCCCAGGGTTTGCCAGCACACTTGCAAAATCATGGAGCATTTGTATTTATTGGAACGTGATTTAAGAAACAGCAACTTTAGGGAAAGAAGAAGAAGAAGAAAAAGAAGAAGGAGAAGGAGAAGGAGAAGGAGAAGGAGAAGGAGAAGGAGAAGGAGAAGGAGAAGAAGAAGAAGAAGAAGAAGAAGAAGAAGAAGAAGAAGAAGAAGAAGAAGAAGAAGAAGAAGAAGAAGAAGAAGAAGAAGAAGAAGAAGAAGAAGGAGAAGAAGAAGAGAGATAGGAAGGAAGGAAGGAAGGAAGGAAGGAAGGAAGGAAGGAAGGAAGGAAGGAAGGAAGGAAGGAAGGAAGGAAGGAAGGAAGGAAATAAAAGGAAAAAAAGAAACTGCAACTGTAAAGGATTTTTTCCTCCCATGACAATTTTCTTATCACACCTGAGCTACCCTCTTCCCATCAAAACATAGACCTACTTACTGAATCTCAATTATGTGCCAGGCACTGCTGTCTTCACCTGATATTTGCCCTTCACAATGCCTCTGAGGTGTTAGTGTTTCTCAGACTTTAGAGTTAGGGTTTCCTGAGGAGCTGGTTAAAATGTAGAGCAGGGACAGCTGGGACCCAGGATTCTGCATATCTAACACTCTGCTGGTGAGCTGATGCTCTTGGTCTGTTGGCCACACCTTGAGTAGCAAAGACTCTTTAGCTGCAAGGTAGGTGACAGTTTAGTGGAGAGCAAGACTGATGACAGGTGGCCTGAAATACGGTAGCAGTAATAAGGGTACAGAGGTAATTCTCAATCAGCACCACAGGAGAATCACCTTTACCATTAGGAAAAGTGAACATGCAACTCAGAGTTCAATATTTGTACATAGTCCCTTCATTAAATATACATAGCATGAAATACACAAATCAGTGTACAAGTCAATGACTTGAAAAATACATTAAGCTTATGTAACCCACACATCCATAACTCCAGAAAGTTCTGTATGCTCATTTCCAGCCAATCCGCATCCCCACTCCCCCAAGAGAAAACTACCATTCCTATAGATTAGTTTACCTGATTTACAAATTATCTATAGATAAATGGAATAACATAGTTGGTCATCTATTGTATTTGCTTCTTTTGTTTAGCATGTTTTTAAAGTTTTCCCCTCCTGAGATCCTTGTCCGACGCAATGCCAGCTGTGAGCATGTTAGGTAAAAGGAAAGACATTTGATCTTTGGCTATTGATCCACACATGTTACTGGCAGGCATCTATTGTTCTTGCCTGGTCTTTGGTTCCAAACTTGGATTACAGCAATCATTTCTAAGGCTTCCTGCAGGGTTGCCTGTCTCAATTTGCCATTTTCTCAGGGGTTTGCAGGGAAGCAGGGAAGTACAATATGTGAACCCACAAACCTCTCCACACTCTGCTTTCTTCCTCCAGCGAGAGGGATGGCTTTTTAGATTGGGGTAAGGAACACCATTCTTTGCTTCTTTCCAAGGAAATTGATTCAACCAGACAGAGGACACACATGGCTTCCAGTGGCTCTGTTTTCTGCTCTGCCAGGGAACTCTCCTGAGGCAATGAACCCAGAATCTCTGCTGAAATGGGGAGAGAAAAATGGGGAAGTTATCTGGTTTCACCAAATACACATACATACGTGTATTCTTATTTTGTAGTTATATTTACATTATTATGTGTTTTAACTATGTGCTTGATATGTCCCTAACTGATTTTTCAGTTTCAGTTTTCAAGGCATCTATTTACCACCCAACAATCTATGATGGACCTCTGTGGATTTCATGTGGTGGCATGATTTTGTCTAAACTCTGTTGTGTACATCATCTAAGATCTCAATAATGCTTACTGATATTTTTACCAATTTCTGCAGAGCTGAATGCTAAAGGAGCCATTCTCTATGCCTTTGAAATGTTCCGCCTCAGGTCCTGCGTGGACTTCAAGCCCTATGAAGGGGAGAGCTCATATATCATATTTCAGCAGTTTGATGGGTTAGTATGAAAATTTTACAGAGTGTGAAAATCATGCATATTCTGGTTTATAAAAGTAAGATCTCTCTCTCTCAAAGGTGAAAAGAAGAAATTGGTAAGAAACTAAAGCAAATTCAAATCTTAAAACCTGTGAATTTTTTAATTAAACAGCATTTTTAACATATTATGTAGAAAATGTGCTGTTTGAATACCTCTGGGCCTAAGGGAGATGTATCTTAATTATTATCTTAGGTCATGTTTTAAATGACATTACTTTTTTTTGAAGTCAAGTTTATTAAAGTATAAATTATACCCTTGTTATAATACTCTTTTAAATGATGGTGCTCTGTTGGCTGGACCTCTTTGAAAAATTCTAGATATAAATTTGCTCTTCTTACATATTTATAAGAAGAAATATGGTGTAAACACTTCCTTCAGGAGTGTTTATGTCAACCAACATGGGAAGCAAAACTGCCACGTGCTGTGACTGTGTTTGTGTCTTCAAGCCCAGCAAGGAGGTGGTACTAGCACATGCTGCAGTTCCCATCATTGCCTTTAGGTGCCGCCTGGGTTTGGTTGTCTTATTCTGATGGTGGGGTTTTTGTTAATAATCATGGGTGGATAACAGAGATGAAGAAGGAAATTAGCACATGATTTTTCCTCTTAAGAAAAAAGTCTGCAAAATCGGCAGTCAAAAAAAGTAAAATTCTGATGACTACTTAGCTACAAGTTAAGTAATGTACATACTTGAGTGGTTGTTTTCTTAGCTCATGCTTTTACTTTAAAAAATAGATATGAGCCCTTATTATGTACTAGGAAGTATGCTAGTCTGAAGGTACAAAGAAGTATGAGACAGTCTCAGGCTTCACAAAGTTTGCAGTTGCAGGTGGGGATGGTGGAGTCACAACAGGTAAATGGTTCTAATATGCTGTGGTGAGTGCCATGGGCTATAGGGGCACTTAAGCAGAACTTCTAATATAGTGAAATGTAACACCTCAGAGAGAGCTAGGCTGAGTGTTAGAGAGACAAAGAAGGAAGGGCATAGAGGCAGAGGAGGGGGAGGACAAAGAGTGTGGGAAGAGAGTAAGAGTGAGAGAGAAGGGAGAGAGGAAGAAGGAAGGGTAGAGAGAAAGAGGAAAGCAAGCATGACTAGAAATCTGGCTTACCTGGAGAACTCAGTAAGTTCAGAATGTCTGAAGCTCTGCCTATAAAGGGCCAAGTGATGAATGATGAGCCAGGAACATAAGCAGGTGCCTGGTCATATTATGTGTTCAATTTTTCATTTAAGAAAGATTGTTCCAGCAACAGTGGATAAAAAATTGAAGTGGGGCAAGACTGGTGGCAGGACATCAATTAAAGGATGCCCCAATCCTCCAGGGAAGAAATGAAAGGGACCTACACTAAAAAGGGGCAGTTTGAAATAAAGAAGAGAGAATGGATTTCAGAAATAGGTAAAGAGGTGCACTTATCAGAGCCTAGTGATTAGCTGATGTGAAGAGAGAAGAATCAAGGATGATCAAGGTTTTTGACTTGGATGACTGGCGGGTGGTAACCTGATTCACTAAGATTGGGGGTATGAACAGTAGAACTGCAGAAGGCATAGGAGAGCAAATTTGTTTCTGGACATGGAGTTTATTGTTTGAGGCATTGTGGGTCATAGAAATAGAAATAACAATACTTACCCAGATAGTTTCTTTCTGTGCGAAGGGAAAGGTTTAAAGTGTACACCAGACCTTGCCAAGAGCACAGATTTTAGAAGTTCTTTGCTTTTGACGTCTTCATCTTGTCCCAAAGCCTAGTTACATTGCCAGTAATGAGGCTCTCTTTTGTGATCATAAATTCCTGCTCATTATAGAAAATTTGGGAATTCATTAGAATACTAGAGGCCTGGTGCACAAAAATTGTGCACGGGGGCAGGGGGTTCCACTCAGCCCGGCTTGCGCCTTCTCGAAGTCAGGGACTCCTCACTCCTTATCACTAGCCTGCTTACTGCTCTTTACTGCTCAGCTCACTACTCCTTAGTGCTGCCACAAGGCGGGAGAGGCTCCTGCCACCACTGCTGCGCTCTCCAGCTGTGAGCCCAGCTTCTGGCTGAGGGGTGCTCCCTCTGGGGGAGCACACTGACCACCAAGGGGCAGCTCCTGCATTGAGCCTCTGCCCCCTCATGGTCAGTGCACCTCATAGGGACCAGTTATTCTGTTGTTAGGTGGATTTGCATATTAGCTTTTTATTATATAGGATAAAGGAGAAAATTAAAGTCAACCACAGCCATCACTTAGAGACGATATTTCATTATGAAAGCTATAATATTATTCTTTTGAATACCTTACGGGTTTGTGAAAGTGAGGAAGAATGCCATTTTGCTTCTTTCTGCCTGATGCATTGTTAAGATTAATTGAGCCCTTTTATAATGGACCATTGCATAACATCCCTCCAGGAAATGTTTCTTATTAAACCAGTCTCTTATCATTGAACCATCAACATCTCTTACCATTGTTCTCACCAACACTATGAGAACACTATCAACATCTCTTACCATTGTTCTCACCAACAGTATGAGAACACAACAGTATGAGAACACTTTTAAAAATCAAACGTAACTTCTTTCTAATTTGTGTTCTGAAATCCTATGAATTGTAGCCATTTAAGCATTATTTAAGAGAAAATTCTCATCTTTTCTTTAAAGGTGCTGGTCTGAGGTTGGTGATCAACACATAGGACAGAACCTTTCTATTGGGCGGGGGTGTGACTATAAGGCCATTATCCAACACGAGATCCTCCATGCTTTGGGATTTTACCATGAGCAGTCAAGGACTGACCGGGATGATTATGTGAAAATCTGGTGGGATGAAATTATTCCAGGTGTGTATGAACCCAAGGTAGGTGGGTGGGATGGGCTATTATTGTCTTTATCACTTGCTGAAAGCAATCCTTGGATACCCAGGCCAAATTTATGGGCAGGTGCTTCAGATTCTGCAGTGGGAACACAAAATATAAAGAGGGTACTTCCTGGCCAGTGTAGCTCAGTTGGTTGGGCATTGTCCCATGAACTGAAAGGTTGCCTATTAGATTCCTAGTCAAGTCACATGTTGGGGTTGCTGGCTTGATCCCTTGTGGGATCAGCAGGAGGCAGCCAATCAATGTTCAGCTCTGGCATCAATGTTTTTCTCTCTTTCTCTCTAAAAGTCAATTTAAAAATCTTAAAAAAAAAAAAAAAAAAAGAAGAAGAAGAAGAAGAAGAAGAAGAGGGCATGAACAGCTGGTATGGCTCAGTAATTGAACTTCAACCTATAAACCAGAAGGTCAAGATTTAATTCCTGCTCAAAGCACATGCCTGGGTTGTGGGCTCTATCCCCAGCAGACAGCGTGCAAGAGGCAGACAATCAATGATTATCTCTTATCTCTCATCCTTGATGTTTCCATTTCTCTCTCCCTCTCCTTTCCTCTCTAAAATCAATATATATATATATATATTAAATCAGGCATGATGTGCTGACCTATCCTATGGTCTGTGCTGATCTATTTAAAATGTTATTTTCCTGTTTTAGTGAGTAAAATAAATTTGGTCTTTGAGGATATCGGGGTTATTTTTCTGGATAGGAAATCTCATAAAATTCTAGGAGCCTCCATAGGATTTAGTTGAACATGATGACCCTACGACATACTCAATAATTTTTTATTTTTTATTTTTGCTGCTTTACAAATCAATAATATGAGTCTAAAAATAATGCAAAAACAACAACAAAAATGAGTACCTTTTTTTTTTTTTTTAATTGCACCTCCAATCCCATTAATTCTGGCTAGTAGTCTGAGTACTGGTTAATCAAAATTTACTGTTCTTTTCATTTTTCTTTATAAGAATCACTCTTCTTTGCCTTTGCCCCTAGCCCATCCTATCTATACCCTGTACAATACTGTTTTGCTTCAATATTATTACACAGTTATGTTATTCTAACAGTTTCAATGTTCTTTAACTTTGTTAGACTTCCTTGGACACTACCTTCCTTAATTGTTTGAGACAACTGAGTAGAGTGGTTTTGAGTTTACTAAACCACAGTTTATCAAATGCTCTCCCAATGTGCTTGGGAAAAAGAGTCAATACTGTGTTTCCAAAACCACCAATTTTTAAATTAGGAATTAGTTCATGGAATGGGAAAACATTATTTTTGAAAATGATAGATTAATAAAACTTTAATGTATTGGAAACAACTTTTAAAAATATTCATTAAATTGTTTGGGGTGACATTGGTCAGCATGAATATATATAGGATTCTATATTACAAGATCTGTATATTGCATCATGTGCTCATCACACAAAATCAAATCTTCTCCTGTCACCTTATATGGGAACTCCCTTCCTCCTTACATCCTTCCCTCTGGCAATCTATTTGTGTTTATGAGTTTCAGTTTTATATCCCACAAATGAGTGAAATCATATAGTTCTTAACTTTTTCTGACTTATTTTAGTTAGCATATTGTTCTCAAGGTCTATCCATGTTGTTGCAAATGGTGCTATTTCATTCTTTTTTTTTTTTTTTAATATATCTTATTGATTTTTTACAGAGAGGAAGAGAGAGGGGTAGAGAGCCAGAAACATCGATGAGAGAGAAACATTGATCAGCTGCCTCCTGCACCCTCCCCCCTCCACTGGGGATGTTCCCCCAACCAAGGTACATGCCCTTGACCAGAATGGAACCCGAGACCTTTCAGTCTGCAGGCCGACTCTCTATCTACTGAGCCAAACCGGTTTCAGCTATTTCATTCTTTCTATGGCTAAGTATTCCATTGTGGTTATGTACCACATCTTCTTTATCCAGTCCTCTATCTCTCTTTCCCCTTCTCCAGTATTATTTGGTTGTTTCCATGTGTTGGCCAACATGAATAATGCTGAAATGAACATAGGGGTGAATATATCTTTGCAAATACATGATTTAGAGTTTTTTGGATATATACCCAGGAGAGGATTTGCTGGGTTGTATGGTAGCTCTTTTGTTAATTTTTTGAGGAATCGCCAGACTGCTTTTTATTGTGGTTGTACCAGTCTATATTCCCAGCAGCAGTGAATGAGGGTTCCCTTTTTCCACAACCTCTCCAACACTTGTTATTGCTTTGTTAATAATGGCCACTCTAACAGACATAAGGTGATATCTGATAGTAGTTTTGATTTGCATTTCCGTAATTGCCAGTTAGGTTGAACATCTTTACATATATCTTTTGACTTCTCTGTCCACTTTTTGATTGAGCTGGGATTGAACCTGCAGCCCAGGTATGTGCCATAGACCAGGAATGGATCCTTCCATATGAGGTCTGACACTAACCACTGTAAAACACTGGCCAAAGCTTATCTTCTTTTTCTTAAAACCTTATGCATATAAATACACATTCATTTATAAAAAGAACCTTTGATTTAAATATATACATATACTTAATAATTTATAATCATGTGTGGATTTTAATTATGTATTTAATAGTCATTACTATAATTTTACATATTATTATTATATAGTACTTGAGGCCTGGTGCATAAATTTGTCTCGATGGGCCAGATCTCAGCAGCAAGCTAACCTACTGGCTGGAGCATATGCCCCTGGAAGTCAGTGTGCATAATAGCAACTAGTTGAGTGGTTGACTGATGGGTTGGGCACTTAGCATATTAATAATTAATAGTAGGTATTTTACACACACACACACACACACACACACACACACACACACACTATTTACCTTTTCTTTCTTTGTCTTTGGTTGAGTATTTAGTCAAAGTGGGTAGGATGGGAAAATGATATGACCAAACAGGACCTGTGGATTCTCTCACTGACAGATTACAAGCACAACTTTAACACCTATGATGACAGCTTCATCACAGACCTCAACACACCCTATGATTATGAGTCTCTGATGCACTATGCACCTTTCTCATTCAACAAGAATGAAAGTGTTCCTACCATCACAGCCAAGATCCCTGAGTTTAACTCCATCATTGGGCAGCGCCTGGATTTCAGTGCCATCGATTTGGAGAGGCTCAACCGAATGTACAATTGCAGTGAGTACCTTTGGGGCTGAGGTCAATGACCCCCAACAGAGATTCCCCACCCTGCAGGTTTCCTATATATTTTTCTCTAGTCTTCTTTTATGATCTAGCTAAACTAGAGGCTCTGTGCATGAAATTCGTGCATGAGTAGGGTCCCAAGGCCTGGCTGGCAATCAAGGGTGACTGGCAGGTCACCCTTGGTCCCCACTGGTGCCCACCTTGGATAATTTGGAGCTTGTGGGCTGGGGGCAGTATCTGCATTGAGCATCTGCCCCCTGGTGATCAGTGCACATTATAGCGACTGGTTATTTGGCTGGTCATTCTGCCATTTAGTCGATTTGCATATTAGGCTTTTATTATATAGGATAAAATGGACAAACTACATTTTTCCCATCTCTAGAGCGGGAAAATTTTAACACCTATATCACAAGATGGTTGTGAAAATAATTTATGTGGTTGTGTTTTATAAAATGAAAGTATTGGGGTAATTTAAGAAGCTGTGATTGTCCAACTTCTTTAGCTTCTTTCTGAAGGGTGCATCATTATGTAATGTTTAAGACAGTATTGAAAGTATTTTGTATCTTTGAAAGTATTTTGTATCCTGTAAAACTATTTTTCCAGGGTAGTTGTTCCTAGAGTAATCCAATGCTTGGATTTGGAATATTTTTTAAAATGACCACACTCGGTTTTGGAGACACATTCTTTCATTCTCTTCCACACATATATAGAGAGGATATACCAAGTACAAAGTCCAGTATTGTAGGTACCTCCATCTTGATCTCAAGGAGTCAGGTTTGGTTTTTGCACAATGAGAGGCCTTTTTATTATTTAACTCTGTGATTCTGGGTGGTGGGTAGGACTGCATGTGTATTGGCAAGTTCTAAATTCTGATGGGGGACAGTAGGATTTGCATCTGAGAAAAGTCAAGAAAATGCAAGCTTCATGATCCTGCTATATCTGAACAGTGAGGTCTTAGAAACTTAAGGCATTAGGTATTTGGAATGAGGTGCCTTTAATTTTTAACCAGGTGACAAAAATGTCATTTGCAGCCACAACTCACACTCTTTTGGACCACTGCGCTTTTGAAAAAGCAAACATCTGTGGGATGATTCAGGGTACCAAAGATGATGCCGACTGGGACCATGAGGACAGCACTCGGCCTGGACAAGTGGATCACACCTTGGTAGGACAATGCACAGGTGGGTGAAGGCAGAAAGTGACCACCTGGGGTGGTTCATCAGGTTCAATTGGTAATGGCAGTCAGCAAGTTTTGCCTCAGTTGGAATGTTAGTTATCAAACCTGGAATACTAAACATGGAAAAAGAACACTTCTCTTTATTATTAACTTAATAAAAAGCACCACTGAGGTTCTGGGCATGCAAAAGAAAGATGCATTTAAGTGATGACAAAACTGATGTGGTTGATAAGACATGACTTTGTATATAAGGGCAATGTCCCTAGAGCAGTGCCCACCAATAGGACTGTAATGTGAGCTACATATATAATGTAAAATTTTTTCATAGTCACATAAAAAACAAAACAAAACAAAAACAAAAAAACAGGGGAAAGTCTCTTTAATAATACATTTTACTTAATGTCTAAAATATTAACATTTCCAAGTAGATTTAATATAAAAATGATTGCTGACCAACCTCACTTTTTTTATACTTGATACTTGGTATTTCCCTTACCCTTATCTCAGTTTGGACTGGCTACAATTCAAGTGCTAAATAGCCACATACATTTGGTAGCTGCCAAATTGGATAGCACAGCTTCAGATAGTTCCTATATATGGTTTGTGTGTGAAAAATCTATAATGTCAGACAGACCTTGATGTGAAATCTGGCTCTACTACTTGTAAATTGTGACCACAGGGACTCATTTTTTAAGTCTTTATTTTTGTGAGCTCTCTGGACCATCATGTTGATACTTCACAGTAAGGATGGAAGAAGACTATGATACAGAACCCCCAGCTGTGGACCAGCAGCTTCCCCTCCTGTGTTTTTCTACATTTCTTTTCTCTCCAGGGTTCCCATATATATGCATTTTCCTATTCTAGCATCCTTTTATTAAATGCTCATCATTGAAATAATCTCATCCCTGTTTGGAAGCAGATGGGGTTATAGGTCATAATCACTTTATAAAGACTGGACTATTATAAAGTCCCTTAGTCCATGCTTGTGCGTGAGTTGGTTAGATTTCCTTCACAAAAGGAACCTAGGTTGTCATCCAGGTTCCAGGCTACAAGGGAGAAAGCCAGAGGTTGTAAGCTATTGCTACATTTCCTCTGGCCTTGGCAAAGGCCAAAGTCTTTTGTCCACATCAGATTATTAAACATATAATTTCAAGTATCCGAAGGGTTATCGAAGCCTAAAATTCTCATTAAATTTCCTTCATGGATTCTAATCGAATCTCTTCTGTGGGCTAGCTGCTGGGCTAATATACAATTTCCAGATAAACAAAAAGGTGATCTTCATGTGAGAAGAACCTGCTGAGAGAATGTTCTGGCATCTTCATAGGAAAGGAAAGGATCACACCCCAAAAGTATATAGGAAAGCTTTATCAGGTTAACTTGACCAGCTATTCTGCTTCTTCCAAAGGAAGCACCTCATGGGACCATGTTCCCTCTGCCAGTGAGCACTGGCATTGTTCAGATAGATGCATGGACTCAAATAACTTGAAAGATAGAAGCCATATCCCATTTAAAACCCAGACATGTGAATGAATCCCTATTAGTGGCAGAGCTGGGGCAAGAATTCAGGCCTCCTGACTCCCAGTTACTGGACTTTTACCTCATACTTCTATACATCTGAGCAGAATTCCTAAACAAGGAACCTTCAGTAATTCATACATAATTCAGAGGCCTCAGGTTAAGTTCTAGTATTGAGAATACATGAGAAAACATATTTTTTCCTGGTGTAATATTAAAGCCATCATGAAATTTTTAAGCCAGGTGGAAATCTTATTTAAACATCCATGCTCACTACCCATCCAAATGACCATCTGAAAGGCTCACACCTCATGTAGGAGGCAGGATAAAGCAGGGAATCCTACTATCACAATGCCCATACCTGTTCTAGATGTTTTCTTCATTTGTACTTTGTGGGATGTTTTGAGTGGAGCATTCGGTAAGAGGTTGAATTCTGGAGCACAGTTTAAATGACTTCTTTATATGCAAGAATTGTTCGTTGAGCCTTACTTTGAAAAGTGCTAGTTTTTAAAGTAACATTTTTGCTTTGGGGGAGAGAATTTTGGGATATTTGACCTGGGCCAACCCCAGTTTTGGCACAAATATAGACACTCTCCCATTTTTTTTCAGTGTTCTTGCAAAGGTTTCTTTATATACAGGAGACATACTTAATAGTTCATACTATGCTTTGAATGCCCCTTTTATGACACAGTAAGGATGATTCTTTACCGCAGCAAACACACCCAGTCATTGGGCTAGACACAGGTGAAACTGAACCCTTAACAATGTGAATATTTAAATTCCAATCGCTATACTTTTGAATCCCACTGTGTCTTATACAATTAGGAGGCCAGCTCTTTGCCTTCTATTTGTGTGGGGAATACAGTTCCCCTCACAGACATTAATTCTATCAAACTTCGCTTAAAGCCCATATTTTCTTAAGTCAGAAGTCTATGTTTCACCAACTTGGGAATAAAGTCAATCAAAAGAAGCTGTGCAGAGCTGCGGTTTAGCCTGTGAGTCTGTTCATGGAGACAAATAGAATATATATACTGACAAACAACCTTCTTTTTATTTTCTCCAGCAGAGTTCTAGCTTGTGTTGGCTGTTGCTCACTATTTCACTTGGTGGGGTCCAGGCACCCTGAGGTATGGACAGCCAGAGATGAGATGTTGGGTGCTCTCTCCACAGGCGCTGGCTACTTCATGTTCTTCAACACCAGCTCAGGGTTGGCAGAAGAGACAGCCTTGCTGGAGTCTCGGATTCTTTACCCAAAGAGGAAGCAGCAGTGCCTGCAGTTTTTCTATAAGATGACTGGAAGCCCTTCAGACAGACTCACCATCTGGGTCAGGAGAGATGATGGCACAGGCAATGTTCGCAAGCTGGTCAAGATGGAGACCTTTCAAGGTATCTGGAAATAGTCATGAAAGGACTGATCTGGCTTACAATCTGGGATTCTAATTCTTTTTTCCTTTCCCTTTCCTTCCACCCTCCATTTTCACTCTTCCTCCCCTCTCTTCATTTCTCCTCCTTTTCTTTTTCCTTCTCTTTCTCTTCTTCTTCATTTTTCCTCCATACCTTCCCCCCTATGTTTAGTCCAGTGTCTGGTATATTTGCACCACACAATACATGTTTTAAGCACTCAGAAATTATATGCAGCAATGAGGGGTTAGGTGAAACTTAAATACACTCTATAAGAAGCCAATCAGAGTATATAAATCCAATTTTCACTAGAACATTGGAGAAAGCCTGGGCAGAGGAATTTTGTCATTCAGAGATGGAGATTGGAAGGTAATAGGTTAAACTTCTGTAGCACTCACCTGTATGAATTCATTTTAGCAATTTGATTTCCACTTGTAATGTAGCATTTGACTTCTCTTTAATCCCAATGCTAGGGTACACCCTGAGCACAATGTGAAAGCAGGGATAAAACTTTGGAGAATTCTGAATTGTTCTACCCTGGCAGTTTCCTCTCCCTAGACCCTCAAACTCTCCTCTGGCTTCTTATGCTGCTGGGCCAGGACCCCATTTTCTAGAACGGCCTTCTCACTTCTTACCTCAGGTCTTTATTCAAAGTTATCACTTCAAGTTCAAGCTCAGAAAAAAGAAGTAGATCCAATTTTACTAGAATGTGGGTATCTGGATAGTGGTAATTATTTTTAAAAGAGAATAGCTTCCCTTCTTTGTGGAATTTCATGTACTATGAGAAAGAAGGAGGGGGGGGGGAGACTGGGTGTTAGCGAGTGAATCAGTTTTGCATACAGGAGATCCAGCTAACCCTGCAAGTTATCATCTTCTTTAGAGCTTTCCATATATCTCTCTGGCATCAATTCACAGGTGGGGCCATATGAAATTGCCATTATGAGAATTTTGGATTACAAAATGATTCTTGTATAAGGCTCAGCCTAATACTTGGATATTCAGTGCTAATATTAGGAGGTTGGTGGGGGGGGAGGGTTGTTTATACCATCAAACCCAGGGGGGAACCCAGAACCTGTGAAACTGAATGGTAATGGAAAATAATTTTGTGATTAAGATTTGAATATGAATTTTTAAATAGAGCACAGTGTGTCTTTGTACAGCTACTTTCCCTTACCAGAGATGTAATTTTGGAAAAGATCTTTAGCCAGTTCATAACAGTATCTATCTCATAGGGTTGTTGTGAGGTTTCAATAAGATAATTCATATAAAGTAATTGGCATAGTACCAGGGTCATAATTGGTGCTCAACAAGTGTTGGCCACAGTTGTCACCCATCTTATTCTCTGTCCTCAGGTAACCAAACTTGGAAAATAGCCCATGTGACACTCAGAGAGGAGAAGAAATTTCGCTACCTTTTCCAGGGCATAAAAGGTGACCCCCAGAACTCGAATGGGGGAATTTACCTGGATGACATCACCCTAACAGAAACTCCATGCCCCACAGGAGTTTGGACAGTACATAACTTTTCCCAAGTCCTTCAGAACACGGTTAAAGGGAGCAAGATCCAGAGCCCTCGATTCTACAATTCAGAGGGATATTGTTTTGGGCTGACCTTATACCCTCATGGTAGAATGAACTCCATGAGCTCTGACTACTTAGCACTTGCTTTCCACCTGTGCAGTGGGGAGAATGATGCTATCCTGGAGTGGCCGGTGGAAAACAGACAGGTGATCATGACAATCCTGGACCAGAATCCTGATGCCAGGAATAGAATGTCCTCAAGCATGGTGTTCACGACATCTAAGTCCCATACATCTTCAGGTAAGTGGTTCTAGGAGCTGCCCCTCAACCTGAGGGACAACAGATGTGATTCTCATCTGTGTATCTGAGATTAACATTCCTCTCACATTTCCTTTTAGGGCGCATCAATAACATGGTCATGTTTGAGTATTAAGTTAAAATTGTCAACGTTATTCTGTCTTCCTCTTTTCTGAATTCACCCATCAAGTAAGGGCTTGCAATGTGCCAAACTCTAGGCTAAGTCCTAGGAATAAGAAGCAAATCAGCCAGTTCCTGCTCTGTGGAGCTCAGTCTAAATGAGAAGACAGATACTATTAGTCATTTACCAGATGCTCAGGACCAATGCACTGATCATCAGTATACTCATGAAACAAACTTGCACCAATACATAAATAAGCAAACTGTTTGCGTTTTTTTCAAATGAAGAGTGTTTAAGCCTTAAGAGGAAGAGGCTATAGCTGCTCCTCCCAATTCATTGAGGAAGCCACTCAATAGTGGACAAATTGACCGTTCAGAGCTGTGTTTCTCTGCCCTTTCCTCCTTTCAATTCTGAGTTTTAATTCTCCTAGAAAGAGTAAATAAACTGATTTGCTTCGATGAAATTTTTTTCTGAGTAGTAGCAAAGCTCCACATTACTCATTAAAGACATTTTGGAAAGTGAAGTATAAAGAGGTCATGTTGTTACAGAGAACCAGAATAAATCAAACAATGCTCAGAGAGTTTGAAGTCACACTTTATTCACCGGTGAGCTTAGAGAAAATGAATTCAAATTCTAAGCAAAGCTACAAGCAGAACTTCCCTTTTTATTAAAGAGCCAGCCCAGTTGGGTTTGCTCAGTGGATAGAGCGTCGGGCCTGCGGACTGAAAGGTCCCAGGTTCTATTCCTGTCAATGGCATGTGCTTTGGTTGTGGGTCCCGTAAGGGGTGTGCAAGAGGCAGCGGATTGATGATTCTCTCTCATCGATGTTTCTAACTCTCTATCCCTCTCCCTTCCTCTCTGTAAAAAATCAATAAAATATATAATAATAATAATAATAATAATGATAATAATAAATAAAGAGCCAGCCCTATGTGCGCTTAGTGATTATCTTGCTGCTGGCCTTGAAAACAACACAGTTCTATCCAATTAAAAAAAAGTGCATCTGGCATGACATTGAGAGTATGGGCATAGCTAGTCTTGGCCTACAAGGTCAGACAGCTAAGTTTATCTTCCTCATTATTCAAGTAGGATAGAAAACAAAGTTATTTTTTTTTAGAATAAGAGGCAGTCTTAAAAAAAGAAAATAGCAGAGAATTCCAAACAGTAGTTTTACAAAATGGGGGTTAGCCTTCTCAATGTGATTTTGTGATACCTATAACTTTGCAGCAATAAACGACTCAGTCATCTGGGACAGACCAACCATCGTGGGAACTTATGATGAGAACTGTAAATGTTACAGAAGCATTGACTGGAACCGGGGCACAATCTCCCACAGCATGCTAAAGAGGAGGAGTTACCTTAAAAATGACGACCTTATCATGTTTGTGGATTTTGAAGGTACTTGTGCTGATCTTCCTGGACGAATAACTCTATCCTCTGGGTATTAACTGATTGTTAAGCATCTCATGAAGGGTGGGATTTTTTTTTTCTTTTTTTAGGGCTAGGTAAAAATGAAAGAGATATGTTCTGAGAGAACCACATGTTGCAAAACTCGGAATTGGAAGGGGGAAAGGGCAGAGAAGCAGTTTACCTATCCTTGGGAGAAACTAGAATTTTAGTGTTCATCTTTTTTGAGAATTTATCAAATATGACAGTTCTCGCTGACTTCAATTTCGTTTAGGTCAGCCTATCAATGCTAACTTTATATTTCCTCTTCAAGTTAAATAAAAATGTGATTGGACTACTTTGAAAATAAAAATAAGTAGCATTAGGAGAGTCAGCTGGGTTCAAAGCCACGTTTCATGTCACTAAAGATGATGTCCACAAGGAATAGAGGCCACCCAGGGAACTTTGTCCAGGAATGCTGACGAGTGTGGACAGATCTAAACCATCCTTCTCCCTCTTTAGACATCACCTACCTCAACAAGACTGAAGTCTCACCTAGAAATACAAGGCTGTCCCCCCAAGGCCTTGTTCTCCAAGGCCAGGAGCAGCAGGCCTCAAAAGAAGACTCAGCGCATGCCTCCTTAGAGAAGATCTTCCCTGGCAGCCATGGCAACGGGCAGCCCAGGCGAAAGAAGCGGTCAGCGGAGAGCACGGGCCCCTTGGAGGACCACAACTGGCCACCGTACTTCAGAGATCCATGTGACCCGAACCCTTGCCAAAATGAGGGCATCTGTGTGAACGTGAAGGGCATGGCGAGCTGCAGGTAGGCTTTGTAGCTGGGGAGGCGGGTGGTGGGTCCGCAGAGGGGAACCTTGTGCTTAACCTGGTAAAAGGCACTGTTTATGGGTTAGGGCAAGGACTCCATCAGGTGGTCAACTGGGCATAACTGTCCTTGACTCGGTGCTGTGCCTGAATCTGTGGGTGCTGCCACAGCGGGACTCAGGACCAAGTTCCCAACTCCCCTGTCTGCCAATGCTCTTATTCGTTATTAATTCTCATTATTATTTTTATTGTCTATGAGTTCTACTGTACTATTATTGTAGTTTTTTTCTAATAGTAGTAAGGGTACCTGACATCGATGGACTGCTTGTTGTGTGTCATATGCTCTCATGAGCAGTATACATGCATCATCTAAAGTCAGCCTACGACACACCGGCTCTGTCATCTCCAGGTAGTGCATAACGAAGTGAAAGCTTAGAGAGATTAAGTGATTTGTTTAAAACACCCAGATGGTAAATACTGCAGCTGGATTTGCCTCCAGGTCTGTCTGTTTGCACGGTTTGCTCTATTTAATAGTTCTTTTTGTAATGTTTGTTATTTGCATTAAATTATTTCATGAAAGGATTTATTGATGCCAGAAGTATCAGTTTCAGTTGACAGAATAGTAGCAGATGTAGGAACTGTTCTGCTTGGCTCAAAATATTTACATTTCTTCTTAGTTCTTTATGATTGCCAATTGCTTCTTCTATTTTTGGCTTTTATTTTGAAATAATTTTAGACTTACAAATACATTGCAAAAAATACTCCATAGTCCCCTAAACCCTAATGTTAACATCTTATATAACCATGGAACAATGAGCATAGCCAGGAAATAAAGGAAAAAGAATAAAACTAAATACTATAACCAATATGATTAACTAAACTAAAGGTCTTACTCTGATTTTCCAGTTTTCCCACCAATGTCCTCTTTCTCTTCCAGGATCCAATTCAGGATCCCACATTACATGTGACTTTCATGTCTCCTTCGCCTCCTTTAATCTGGCACAAGTCCTCAGTCTTTCTTTGCCTTTCATTATCTTGATATTTTTGAGGAGTGGGGGGTCAGTTATTTTGCACTGTTCCTCAATTTGGGCTTATCTGGTGCTTTCTCATGATTATTTTGAGGTTGTTGATTTTGGGCAAGAAGAGCAAAAATGAGATACACTCTTCTCGGTGTGTCATGTGAGGGGTACCTGGTGTTAATATGTGTTGCTACTGGTGATGCTAACCTTGCTCACCTGCCAAACGGATGTCCACCAGGCTTCTTAGCATTCCTCACTCTGTAGTGGATGGATGCCTTGGGAGAAGACACTCGGAGACCATGCTGACATCCTGCTTCTCCTCAAATTCTCACCCACTAATTTCAGAATCCATTGGTGGATCCTGCTGGAAGAATCGCCATTCTAATATTTTAATGGTGATTTTCTATTTTCTGTCTGCATTAATGAAGTGAAATTCTTCTATGAAGAAGAACTTCCTTCTCCTCCTCATTCATTTATTTCTACAATTATTTTCTTATATCCCTAAGGATTCAAAAATATTATTTTATTCTCTGAGCTACATTTTAATATGCCAGCACTTATCTTGTTGCTCACATTGTTCCAGCTTTGGCCTTGGGGAGTTTTTCCAGAATGGCTCCTATGCCCTCTCCCACACAAACTCATTCTTTCAGGAACTTGATGTTACTTCCTGGCATCACAGGAAGTCCCGGGCTCATCTTTTACTTGCCCTGCCCCAGCCCTGGAGTCAATCACTTTTTCAAAGTGCCAGGGTTTCATTGGAGAATGCCCACCTTGTTTCTTGGGGTTTCCAAGGTCACAGGGTGGCATGGCACCTCTTTGCTGATAAGTCCTTGGATTCCAGATTTCAATATGTGCCCGGTGGGCTTCGTGCTTCTCAGAGTTAGGAAGTCAAGGGTTTCCACTTGTGTGTCAACCTTTTATCAGCCAAATTATTCCTTTCTCTCAAGCCTGTGGCTTGGAGTTTTTGTGGAGAAAGCTCCTCTAAGGCAATCAGCTATATTTGGAGGGAAATGGGCCAGAGAAAACTTGCTATTATTCACTGATTCTTAAGAGGCCAATTCCAGGATGAATAAAGGAGGCCTTAACTTCCATCCTGCCACTTTGCTCTGGGGGGAGACTTTGTGATGGGAATGTCGTTTGACAGAAAGGCTGAGACTGTTCTCATGGAAGAGATGAAACACTGCCCTTAACACCATGGTTCTGAGATTAGTTGATCTTTATAACAAATAACATTTTTTTAAAAGAATATCAAGGATGGCATAGCCATTATGTGCCTACTATGTGCCAGACATCTCACCTTACAGTAACACTTTGGCGGATATTTTCTAGAAATTTACAGGGTCCAACATTAATGCACTGAGACTCTATCTGGAGAATTCACCCTGTAGCTTATAGTCTGAGTCAGAGTCAGGCAACATATTCTTTAAGTACCCCAAGCCTTCCTCCTGAACTTTGCATGTGCAGGCTGAATCCTGAGTCTGGAGACCAACCTCTGGGATGAGACTTCATGTGTGAAACACTGACCTCATGACCTTGAGCAAGTTATTTAACCTTTCTATAAATGAGGTTGATGAGAATGGCCTGATTATAACCAAGGACCGTTACAGTGCATTGGCGCACACAAAGCCCTTCAAATGGGGCCAGGCCCGTGGAACCGCTCAGTAAGCGCTCTCTGCCATTTCTGATGAGCTGACGCTTGTCACTGGGGGGAGCGGGGGCTCTGGTGGCTTCCACATGAACCCCTGTGTCCTGTTCCCAGGTGTGTCTCCGATCATGCCTTCTTCTACACGGGAGAGCGCTGTCAGGCCATGCAGGTGCACGGCAGCATCCTGGGCCTGATCATCGGAGGCACCGCCGGTATGATCTTCTTGACCTTCACCATCTTCTTCATGTTTCCCAAAAAGTCGAGGCAGTGACCTGCCTGCTGACATCAGCCAGACCGAAGAAGCTCCTCCTCTACTCACACCTCTGCTCGTGTGCTGAACGCTGTTTGGGGTGGGTTTTGTCAGCCTTGTTTTGAACAGGCCTCTGAGGACCAAGACCTCCAGCCCCCCATGTGATGGATATGGTTTTTCTGTCCCCAACCCTCACATGGTTCTGTTACCCTGCTATGTGCTCTGATTGTCTCTCCCGTGTCTTGACAGCACTCACTACACTTCTTTGTAAATCACTTGTTTAATTGATTGTCTTTCCCACAGACTGTAAGCTCCATGCAGGCAGACCCTCATATCATGCCAGTGCCAAAGCCTGGAAGCGAGATGGCCTAGCCCATTGTGGGCCTTCAGTGAAAGTGGATAAATGAATAACTAAGATATATGAACTCTCATTTCTTCTGTAGATGAAATACCTACAATAAAATTTCTACCTCGTTTGCATCAGAATCAAATGCTCAAATACATACTTTTCACTGGACATAACAGGATTATTACTCTTTCAAGGCCTCTTGTGCTAAAGGATTTCAAATAAAGAGTCCTCCCAGCATCAGGGCCCCAAAGCACTTGCTTTCCTCCTCTGAATCTAAGAACAGGTTTTAACAAATTCAATAAATATTTGGTCAGTTCCTTCTCTGTGTTCGGCATTGTGTGTTTGTGTGTGGAGTGGATGGGGGAGAGATGACCCAAAACCCTTTCTCAGATTCTTTTAAATTTTAAAGTATATTTATATGTTATTCATGTATAAGATTATTAAATTAACAAACAGAAAGTACCAAGTAGAAAAAAAAATTTAAAGAAGTCTTTTTAGAATACTTCCTTTCCATGGTGACTAAGAAGATAATAGTCTAGAAAGTTCCCAGATAGATCAGGTCACTTGGTGTTTTATATATGTATTTAGTTATGAGTACTGTTTAGCGAACTATCCCAAACCTTAGTAAACAGGGGATGGGAAATAGTAGAGTGGAATGTTGGTCCCCTCTAATGAGTACTGACGTGGGGAAAAAATGATGGAAAGATCTAACATGGGTTCGAAAGCCCAAAAAATGTGTGTGTGTGTGTGTGTGTGTGTGTGTGTGTGTGTATGCAAGTGAATGTGTAAGACATGAGATTAAAGGTGAGCCATCTCATCAATATAGTGAAGACAAGACTTATCTCTCTCATCTTTCACTTTTGCCAAACTCTGGTCCTGAAATACAGAAATAGATTGGACATGGCCTCATGTTGGTCACAGCTTCCCTCAGGGCCTAAACTTTGACTCATGTGTGACTCAACAGCTTGTGGAAATAATTAGTAACATTTAAAGATTTCTATCTGGTCAAGAGAATAAAAGAGAGTAGGAAAGTGGGATTATGAGGAAGATAGGAGAGAGTGAGAGGCAGGTAAAACATTCAAATTATCAGCCCCAGGCAAAAATGGTCACCAATATCCATTCTCTCTCTATCCAATCTTCACAATAGAATCTTCAAATCCCAGCAGGTCAAATGGTCACTGAGAATATGGTTTACACTCTCCCCTTCCCTGGCAGGTAGGTGTGGCTGTGTGACCAAGTTCTGGCCAATAGAATGGGAGCAGAAATGTTGAATGACAGCTTCTGAAAGCTTTCTTTAAGAAGCCTTGGTGCATACACCTTTAGTTCCTTCTTCTGTTCTGATGGCTGATAAGGGGACAGGATGTTCAGAGTGGGAACTGCCTTGTAGGGCTGAGAGATGACCCTGGGAAAAGCAGAACAAAAATAAATGACTGGGTCCCTGAGAACTCTATGGAGCCAAGTCTACCATACCAGTCTTGGACTGCTTATCCATACACTTATGTGCTAAAATAATGAACTTGCAGTTTAAGCCTCTGTTATTTTGCATCTTTGTAGCTCACAGAAAACATACTCCTCACTGATATGATGGTTTCCGCAAGGTCAGCACGTGACTCAGACTCAATCAGTCACGATGCCTTACACCGCCATGGAACACAGGCAGATGGGGAAGAAAGCAGCTGTTCTTCCTTTTAGATCTTAATCTAAAAGGCCTCATAGATTTCTTCCCTCAAAAATCTGTCATTAAATGAAATAAACTCAGAGAGGGAGGCAGAGCCTCAAAAAGGAGAGGGAGAACTGGAAAACAATGAACTCCTGCATCCAACTCTACCCAAAGGTGTGCCAATTTAGTATCTTTTCTAGGTACATGAGCTAATAAATGTCCATCCTTGTTTAAACTAGTTTGATCTATGGTTCTGTTTCCAATAACAGCTGACTCTACTGCTATAGCACCTAATTGGCTCATTGGCAAGGGAAATAATGAGATTTCTTTAAGAAAAAATGTATAGTATGTTCCTTAAGATTACCAAAGCCAAATTGAGATGCAGACACTGGGAAGTTACCTATGCTCACTCATTTGTTAAATGACCTCTGGCTTCATAATTGGCAGAGTTAAACTAAAGCCTTAGTAAAATTATGATTTAGATGTCATGTATCTTCAGGGTTCCTTTCAAAGATACCTAACCATGAATTAAACTCAAGAAGGTGAAGGGTGTATGTATTGTGATTCTGAGTAGTGACTGTGTTTATTTTTTTATTTTTTAAAATATATTTTATTGATTTTTTTACAGAGAGGAAGGGAGAAGGAGAGAGAGTTAAACACGTTGATGAGAGAGAAACATCAATCAGCTGCCTCCTGCACACTCTCTATTGGAGATGTGCCCTCAGCCAAGGTACATGCCCTTGACCAGAATCAAACCTTGGACCTTTGAATCTGCATGCCAACACTCTATCCACTGAGCCAAACTGGTTTGGCCAGTAAGTGACTGTGTTTAAACTTGGGATCTGTGATAGAACATAAGAAAGGATAACTTCATTCAATAATTACTGGGGCTTTTTATAAAGACAACTCTTCATAACAACCTGTATCATTTTCACCCCCTTTTACATTATGGAAATTGAGTCTCAAGAGAGTTACTATATCCAAGGTCACAAAACAAGAAGCGGTGAGTGACAATTGGAAAGCACAAGGCGTTGGCTCCAGATCCCATGCTCTGTACAGTATACTCACTAACTGGCTGTCAGTCAGTACTAAAGTCACGCCCAGGTGCTCACAAGGTGAAGCAGGAACTCCAGACAATTCAAGTAGCCAATCAGCTACTGCTTCAGTCTGCATTACAAGGAAAATCACGACGCAGCCAAGTTTATTAGGACAAATGTCTCAATTCTTCACTTGTGTTTAAACACAGCCTTTGAAACAGTGCCTTTCTCGAGAAGTCATATTTTCCTCATTTGTGGCTAAATGACATCCAACAGTCTGAGAATGCTCGGTAGGTCTCTGGCAAGAACAAACATAACACCACCAACCACTGGGGCCTCATGGAAGTTCACTTGGATGAAGACTAAAGATGAAAATAGCATGGATGTCAAGCTGCTCCATTTGAGGACTGAACTGGGTGGCTGATGTGAGATCTGCTTTCAATAAGGCAACACAGCAATAGACCTTTCATGCTCCATCAGAAATGACAAGAGGAAGTGAGCTGATGCCACAGTTTACCCAGAACACTGGTCGTCATGTTCGGGGCTACCCCCTAAGAGAAATTATAATGAAAAATGAAGGTTGGAGATGCCATAATTTCTCCATCCTTCCCATCACCATTGTTCTCCCTCGGTGATTTTGTGTCCTCGGAACCCTGGGCTCTATGTGCATCAAGTTGCATGGAGAAGCAGTAGAGTGTGGTGGTGACATGCACATCCTAAATCACCCTGCATTCAACATGTGGCTCTAACACTCTTGAACTGTGTGACCTTGGCAAGTTATTCATCTCTCTGTGCTTAATTTGTTCACCTTTAAATAAAGAGAAAAAGCAAATTTACTCAACCCAGGGTTGCTGTAAGGCTTAAATACATGAAGAGCTGAGGACAACATCAAACACATGGTAAGAACACTGTAGATGGTAGTGAACATAGTTAAATAGGTATCATGGGCGGATAAATTGCATTTCATTTGCCATGCACCTCTCCCAGAAGTTCCTGTATGTTTAGCTCATTTCAATTTGAGATTTTGTCCTCTGTTAGAGGAATGTCCAACATAAGGGAAATGGTGTGAGAGAGATTTTGAAATGTTAGGAGCAAATACCCGGAGGCACATGATATTCTCCCAGTCAGAAGTTGCCTATCTCATTACCCCAGATCAGGTCAGCTTGTCCCTCTTCCCTAAGGGTGGCCTTCTCAGCAGTTGGTACTGTTTGCTTCTCCTGGGTTCTTGGATCACACTTTGGCAGGCATGCGTGTCCCAAGGCCAGACTTACCAGCTGGCCTCAGCTGGGGGCTGGTGTGTCAGATAGCCCCGGGACAGCTGCGGATTCAACATGGATTGCAAAAGAAAACCCAGCCCAGCCGTAGTTTTCTATGAGTGAATTAGAAAAGGAACCAGACCATCCAATTCCGCCTTTTGAAGTTGCACTGGTGGAAAAAGAGTAGAAGTCCCATGAAACATGGAAGGCGCCCTTTTGCTCCCTCAAACCACCTGTAAAAGGATCAGGTGATTTCTGCAGCTGTTTTAAGCAGTGCCTTTGGTTCCATAAAAAAGACTCCGTCAGAGAGGGAGGAAAGAGGCAGAAGGAGGAGGTATCCTGGCTGGTATATTTCAGAAATGAACATGTGGCTGGCGAGCCATCTTGTTCACCAAAACTGTGTGACTGGCATGCTTGCCCACCCCATACCTTTAGCCTCCCTTTTATGACTTCCTTTCCTTTTCCAAGGACCATAATGTAAAAGGGATAAGAGGTCGGGAGCAAAAGAGATTCTTTCATTCCTTGTTTCCATCATCTCACAGGCCTTGATTCCACCTTCTCTCTGTTCACAGGCCCCAAATTACTTCTTTGCACATTTCTCATTGGGCATGGCATGTGGCCCACAGGCCTGACGTTGTATGCCTTTGAGGTTCTACCCAGGAGGACCCAGAGGAGGTGCCTCTCCTAATGACCAGCAGGTGGCGATCAAGCCTCAGGAA